CTCTCTAAACCCAAGGTGGGGGAGATCCTGTACCTTTACTTGGGTGTTGGCCCGACAGCCGTCGGCTCAGTACTCATCCGGGAAGAGGATGGCATCCAGCATGCCATCTTCTATGTTAGCAAGACCCTCAGGGAAGCGGAGCTCCGGTACTCCCCCGTGGAAAAAACGGTGTTGGCCATCGTGTGGACCGTCAAGAAATTGGGCCATTACTTCCAAGCTCACCCGGTCCAGGTCCTCACTCACCAACCCCTCGGCGCCTTGATGAGGAGCCCCACCAGCTCCTCCCGAATGATGAAATGGGCTGTCTTCTTGAGCCAATACAACATCGACATCCGTCCTAGGCCCGCCATCAAGGGCCAAGCCCTAGCAGACTTCGTGACGGAGTGTACGGCAAGATCAGCCGCAGACGAGGAGCCCTTGGCCCCTTCGGATGATTGGTGGACCCTCTACACCGACGGTTCCTCCGTCGTCAAGGCATGTGGAGGAGGGGTGGTTCTCATCTCACCCGAGGGCTTCGGGGTCTATTATGCAGTCCGTTTCTCCTTCAAAGTCTCTAACAATGAAGCCGAATACGAGGCCCTCCTCTGTGGCCTTCGGCTGGCAGCTAACATGAAGGCCCGACAAATTCACGTCAAGTGCGACTCCAAGTTAGTCGTCGGCCAAATCTCCGGGGAGTACGAAGCCAAGGAAGGGAGAATGAAGCAATACAAGGAGGCGGTCAAGGAGTTGCTTAAGGTATTTGAGGCACACTCTCTTACTCAAATACCGAGGGCTCAAAACTCCGAGGCCGATATTTTATCAAAGCTCTCGGCAGAATTCCCTGAGCACATCTCGAAGATTGCCAAAGTGGAAGAACTCAGCCTCTCTAGCATACATGCTAGCCTCGACATGGACACACAACAAAGGCAGGGTGACTGGATCTCAGACATTGTCACCTTCATCACCATAAGGCAACTGCCCGGGGACGAGGCCCGCGCTAAACTAGCAAAGCTGAGGGCTCCCAGCTACATTATCGAAGACGGAAGGCTTTACAAGAGGTCCTACAACGGGACATTACTTCGGTGCCTTGATCAAGATGAAGCCGAAGTGGCGATGGAGGAAGTGCACAGTGGCACTTGTTCAGCTCACCAGGGACCCTTCTCCATGTCCCGAAGGCTAATAATCCAGGGCTACTTCTGGCCCACAATGGCCCAGGATTGTGCAGATCTTGCCCGAAGGTGTTCCGCATGCCAACACTTCCAGAAAGCCCCCGGCAGGCCAGCGGTCAACTATGCCCCCATCAGCACATCCATACCCTTCGCTCGATGGGGCATAGACCTTGTGGACCCTCTGCCGAGGGGTACGTCCAACAACAGGTACATCATTGTCGCCATCGATTACTTCACCAAATGGGTGGAAGTTGAGCCCCTCTCCAGCATCACTGAGGCCAGGTGCCGTCATTTTGTTCTCAAAAACATCCTCACCAGGTTTGGTGTCCCTCAACAAATCATCTCCGACAACGGGACTCAGTTCGAGGCAGCCCCCTTCTGTGCCCTCCTAGAGGCATGGGGCATCAAACACACCAACAGGACCTTGCTCGAAGTGTAGAACGCCAACAGGACCTTGCTCGAAGGCCTGAAGAAGAAACTGAAGGCCGAAGGGGGTGGTTGGGTGGAAGAGCTCCACAACATCTTATGGGCCTACCGTACCACCCCTCGGCGGGCAACTGGCGAGACACCCTTCTCCCTTTGCTACGGATTTGAAGCTAAGGCCCCCACTGAGGGAACTCTTCCAACCCGAAGGGTCGCACAGTATGATCCAGAGGCCAACGACGCCAATATGGCCCTCGACCTCCACCTTATTTCAGAACGCCGAGAGCAAGCCTTCATACGCGCAGAAAACTACCGAAAGCAAGTGAAGAGTTACATTGACGCTAAGGTCCGCTCCAGGGAATTCCAAGTGGGGGACTATGTTCTCCGAAGAAGGGAAGCTAGCCAACCAACCGAGGGCGGAAAGATGGCACCAAAGTTCGAAGGCCCCTACATCGTGGCAGCCATCATCAAACCGGGAACTTACAAGCTAAAACGCCCTAATGGGACTGAAGTCCCTAGACACTGGAATGTACATCACTTAGTTAAATTTTATCAATAACATCAGAGCGGCCAAGCCCTCATGACTAGTGAATGTATTATTTCGCGGCCCAAGGCCTAAAAAATCTGAAGAACAAAGGCATTTTGAAGACACCAAGAACACGGAACAGGATTCTTACGAAGGGCCAAGCCCTCATATCACCCCCTGGCCCAAGGCCTTGCCCCAAGGAAGAACCCTCGACACCAAGTGCCGAGGGTAGACAATACTATCACCTACAACAAAAAGAAAGTACCAACTGTCCTCAAATAGAGACCCCTCGGCACCTGGTGCCGGGGGGACACACCACTAACAGCTTTCAACAAATGGGAAGAAACACCAAGTGTTCCCACGGAAGACCCCTCGGTACCAAGTACCGAGGGTAGACAACACAATCACCTTTCAACAAATGGGAAAAAACACCAAGTGTTTCTACAGAAGACCCCTCGGTACCAAGTACCAAGGGTAGACAACACAACACCTTCAACAAATGGGAAGAAATACCAAGTGTTTCCACAGAAGACCCCTTGGTACCAAGTACCGAGGGTAGACACCACAATCCCCTACGACAAATGAAGGAAAAACACCAAGTCTTTTCACAGAAGACCCCTCGGTACCAAGTACCGGGGCCGTACATCGGAACAAACACCAAGTGTTGTTTCTAAGCCGTACCCCTCGAGGACGCCTATACCGAAGGCGCCACCTCTCGGTGCCGGCAGCACGTAGTGCCCCCGGCCATTTGCAACCAGTGTGCAAATGAAGACCCTTCCCTGAAACGCTTTCCGCGTCATCACACCAAGGGTATGACAGGCACGAGAAATGCCCAGGATTCGACTTTCAAAAACGGAACGCTTTCCGCGTCATCACCCCAAGGGTATGACTAGCACGAGAAATGCCCAGGATTCGACTTCCAAATCGAAACGCTCCCCGCGCCACCGCCCCAAGGGTGTGGCAGGCCACGGACTATGTCTAGCACCGAGGGGACGACTTTCAAAACTGAGGCGCTTTCCGTGCCATCCCCCAAGGGGAGGCAGGTTACAGACCACCATATCTTGTACCCAGGAAACGATCCTCGACCCCCTCGGAACTCGGAAGGTTAACCCGAGGGGGGAGCTAATGGTGTATTCTGTTACCTCCCGATAGGCCAAGCCTTACCAAGAAACCAAGTTTCTTGAAGCCTTCCCTTCACTACTCAAAAAAAAGGTGGTGAAGGGGAGTAGACTCAGCGAGAAATCAATGAGTACATCACTCCTACAATTCACGAAAACATACCGAGGGCTCCCCATGGGAACGCCTTCGGAACCTGGAAGCTCATGAGCACAAAGGATACCATTCACAACAGACATCATCAACAAATGACTAAGTCCACTCAATGATTGTCTCCGGCTACACCCGAAGGCTACTATATAACCAAGCTATCAGATGGTGGCCAAACCAAATCAAGAATCCCCTCCGGCACCTCATTACATGCCGAGGGGGCACATCCAGACAATTCCCAAGGGAGTCTACCTTTTTTATGCTAGACTTGGATTACAAACTCTCCTATATCAACATCGGGGGGGGGGGGGGGGACATAACAAACAACCGAAGGCTTTTGTTACCACAGGCCAACATTGCAAGACAAAGGAAACTATCCTAAACCTACAACGCATACAGCCGAAGGGTCCCCTCCCGAAGGCCAGCAGCAGGAAATACTTAGAGAAAATAATCTAAGTCCTAAATACTTTTCCCCCTGTGGGGCCACCAGCCAGCCGAGGGCGCATCTGAGACAAGGTCCTCACATTCACCCGAAGGCTCCTCCTTCATACAAACTACACTTAGAAGAATTTCTAAGTCCCAAAAGTTTTTGACTACTTTGCCCCCTGTGGGGCCACCAACCAGCCGAGGGCGCATCTGAGACAAGGTCCTCACATTCACCCGAAGGCTCTTCCTTCATACAAACTACACTTAGAAAGCTCCATGCAGGCAGAGGGGCCGCACAGTCAAAAGCTTGATGAAAATACAAGTAGAAATATTTTCTAAGTCCTACATATTTTGACCCTCGGTCAAATCTCCATGCAGCCCGAGGGGTCATACGGTTGAAGACCTGGTAAAACTACACTTAGAAATATTTCTAAGTCCTAACTATTTCTGGGCCCTCGGTCGTACATCCAGTCAGCGAAGGGTACCCAATCACCGAAGGCTAGACTGTATTCAAACATTTAGAAAAATTCTTCTAAGTCCTAAACACCTCGCCTCCGGTTATCTCATGAAGGCTACACAGAACCAGAAGGAAAGAATTAGTCGGGGGCCAATAGATGAAACAAACACTTAGAAATATTTCTAAGTCCTGAACATTGTGCCCTCGGTGAAAGGTTCAACTGACTAAATAGGCCTAGTAGCCGAGGGCTACGAGAGGCACTATACTTGGAAGAATATATTCTAAGTCCTAAACATACATTCAGAAAAACGAAGGCATGCATTCAAAGAAGGGCGAAGGCATACATTCAGAAAAGGCGAGGGCATACATTCAAAGAAAAACAATCGGAGGAAACGAATTATACACAAAAGCCCGAAGGCCGGTATTCATTCATAAGAAGAATGGAAGAGTTAAAGAATATATTACAATATGGCCGAGGCCGAGAGTACACAAATATTCATTACAAACAAAAAAAAGGTGTTCAAAAAGCTACTAAGTGCAAGTGTTTCATTCAGCTTTCGCCTCCTTGGCAGGCTTCGAGGTGACCTCCTCCCCGACGGCAGCCTCAGCATCACCATCACCAGATCCCCCCATCATCATGGAGTCATGGATCACAGGCCTCTCTTCGCCCGAGGGGAGGGGGTTTCTCACATCTGGCTGCAAAGGAGGAAGGCCATACGCCGAGGGGTCAAATTCCTCGAGGGAGACTTGGAAGTGCCTGGCGAGCCTCCGGTACACTAGATGTTGGGTGAAGAATTCACCCCCTTGGTAATAACTGTCTCCCCTCTCCGCCATCCAGTCCCCCCGGGGCCCTTCACCCAGTCATCTACCGATGACTCCACGACCGAGACCACCCACTACTGCCTATCTTCGGCTTTCCAGCCCTCGGCCATGAATGCGGAAACAGCTTCCTCTCGGGCTTTGGCGACGGCCTCGACCTTGGCAAGCTCTGCCTCCTCGGCGGCTATCTTAGCGGCCCTCTCGGCCTCAAGCCTGGCCTCCTCCACGGCAGCCTTGGCCTTCAGCTCAGCGCCCTCGGCAGCCTTGCTGAGATCTGCCTCCAGCAAGGCCATCTGCTTCACAACATCAGAGTTCTTCAGGATGAGCTCCTTCATCTCCCGATCCTGCTCCGCTTTCTGAAGCCGCCATTGCTCGAGTCTCTGAGCGTGCTCCCCGAGGGCTACACAAGCCTGATAAACAACAGGCGGAGGGGTCAAATTAGTATGGAAAGTGCATTAAAGGTTAAACACAAAAGCAAAGGAGGAAACTTACAGCTAACGAAGATCGAAGGATCTTGTTCTCGAGGGCTGCATCATCATAGGTCGAGAGGGCAGCCTTGTCCATTGCAGAGGTCATCCCCCTCAGGAAGGCCTTCGGCTCTGCTGAGCCGTGTAGCACAGAAGCCCCCGGGGCCAAGGAAAGCTGCAGAATCTCCCGGGGGAGGCTTCCCAAGGGAAGATCGGGCCGAGCGGTCGTCACAGCACCAACCGGGGGATCCGGAGAAGGGCGATCCTCAATAATCACCAAGGGGGCATCCTAGCCGACAGTGCCCCCGGCACCCCTCTGTTTCTTAGCAGGGGGCTCAACCGCCTTGCTGCCCTTCTTCTTTTTGGTGGCCCCCTCGGCCACCCCGGTAACTCCCTCCGCAGCAGAGGGCTCCGGAGTCTCCTTCTGAAAGAAGGCTTCCACAGGCTGCTGGACCGAGGGGTCCTTCTTTTGGGCCTGGGCCTTGCCCTTCTTTTTATTCAAAGCAAAAAGCTTCCCGACGTCCATATTCACACCTGCCAACAAAAAAAAGGGGTTAGACCGAAGGGCAAGAAAGCAAAAAAGAAAAAAAATGAGGAAAAATCCTAAGTACAAAACAAGAAGCCCTCGACTACTACCTCCTGCTAACAAAGGATATTTCTCGTCTGTCTCGCCGAGGAAGCGATATCTGCGGAAGCCGAGGGCGAAAAGCTCCTTGTCGGTGGTAAAGTCCTTAATGGACACTTGCTTCGTACGACCCTCCGGGATCTTGGCTATTATCAAGACATCCTTCTCCAGAGCAGCATTCCCAACCCTCGGATGCCGACGGAAGCGATCCCGAAGTTCCATCGGAAAGGGGCTCTCGGCAATTCTAACATAGCACCACCGCTCCTTCCAGCCTTTGTTGGACGAGGGCGCTTCTGTGAATAATTTCCACCGGGCTACCTTTTGCAGATTGGCGAAGCCCTCGGCATTCGCGTGACCCCCTCGGCAGAGGTTAAAGCTCTGAAAGAACAAATCCAGGCTAGGGGTCACCCCTCGGGCCCAGCAGAGATTCAGGAAGCCCGCCACGTAGGAGTGGCTGTTAGGCGTCAACTGGCAGGGGACCAAACCCACATACCGAAGGTATTCTCGAAGGAATGGGTGCAGGGGGAACCAGAGCCCCATTGATACCGACAGGATGTGCACGGCGATGCAACCCTCGGGAGCCTGGGAGAGCACATCATCAGGACCTGGCGTCACCACCACAGCCGAAGGCCCCACGTGCAGCTGAGTCACGTACAGATCTTCCCTGTCAGCCTTCGACCCTATCTCGAGGGCAGCAGTATTCAGCCAGGAGTACCCCTCGGGCACATCTATGGGCTTCCCTTGATCAGCAACAATGCACTTCTTCTTGGGAGCAGTTTTCTTCTTCTCCTGTTTTTTCCCGAGGGCCACTCTTATCGGCGTCGGGTTGAGGGGCCGAGAGCTCCCTACCTCACCAGCACCCCGAGGGGGAAGGACATCCACTGTCACCCTCATCCTCTCCTTCTCTTCCTCCTCCTCTGCAACTTGTACGACGAGGGCAAGCTCTTCATCCTCCGCCTTTTGCTCGAAGCCCTCGGCTTCAACTTCGGCCACTAACTCCTTCTGCACCTCCATGGCCATCGTGATATCCTCCTGGGCCGAGGGTTGCTCGCTCGAGGACCCCGCATCCGAGAAGCTCTCCTCTTCCATCGAGGGATCCCTCGATATGTCCTGGGAATCACTTTGGGAAGACATCTTTCCACTGGTTCGAGGGCTTGGAAACACTAAGTGTTCTAAGTTACAACTCCTAAGTCTAAGGCCGCTAAGACAGCTAGCTAAGAAGGGAGAAGGACAAGTGGGGAACTGACCTTAAAACAGGAGTTAGATCGAGGGCAGTGTTTCTCTCTCTAGAACAAATCCGGCAGAGCTTCGCTAACAAATGATCGCACAGGAGGAGTGGTGCCCGGCCATGGGGTATTTATAGGCGCATTAATCCGGGCTTGGGCCTGAATACCGGGCCTCCGGTACAAAATCATCATTACCTACCGACGTGTTGCCCAATCGGTGACACCCGCCCACGGGCAGCCAACGAGCACGCACCACGTGGAAGCCCCCCCCCCCCCCCAACGGCTATATTTTGACGTTAGGTATTCCAACGGCTATATTCACAACGGCTATATTCTGGGAGCCTCCGGCTATATTTAGCAGCCCACTCCTGCATCAACCGAGGAACTAGCCCCTGGGCTTTTTACTTCACTCCACTTCATCAAGAAGAGCCCCCGGGTACACTTACCCAGAGACGCTCCCGGTTTGTGCCCCTCACACCACATAACAAATGCCTTCGGGCTCACCCCTTCAGAAGCCCACGGCTTCATAACAGGCACACCCCTCGGGGATCCCCCCTCAGCACTGTGAGGGCCGGGTAGCCCCCGGGGAGTACGCCTCATTGACGGATAGCCTACGGCACATGGGTAACGGGGAGCCCTCGGATACCCTCCTCACCAACTAATCAACAAACAGGGGACACCCCGGTAACACTTCAACTACTACTCACATTCATCACACCCTCGATCCCCAGATTGAGGGACTCCCCTTCGGCACCTGCCAGGATATCAACAGCACGCCTCCGGCTAATCAACACATGCGCCCTCAGAACAAGGATAGCCTTCGGCATCAGCACTGTACTCCATTTCGAACCAGGGTTTCACGTTTTCGATTCATCATTGGGGGAATTCGGTGCACTCTTTTTCCCTCATTAGGATTTTTTCCCACAGGGTTTTACCTAATGAGGTTTTTAACGAGGCATCCCCCCAAAATGAAACGAAAAGCGTCAGCCTTCGGCCCAATACAGCAACATGATTACTCTACTCCTTTTCACCACTTTGCAAGTGCCTCAAGGAGTGGGGGACTGGAGGACCCCCTCGGGAAAATCACAAAAATCACAAACATGCCCCCTCAAGTCCCGACATGTGGGTAACTGAGGGACTGCCCTCGGCAGAATAAACAAACAGCAAACTGCCCACAACTCTACAACGGAACAACGGCAGAGGACAAACACAATTACTCCTTTTCCCTCAAGTACCTTTCGGCAAAAGGAGTGAGGGACTCCTGATGGAGTATATGGCCCGGGAACCCCCGGCCCACAGACTCCTACTACTCCAATAAAGGACCGATAGGCCCAGGAAGCACAACAGGCCCAAATCACGGCGCCCAAGGTACCAAGCAGCCCACAATGCGCACCAGGGGTGCCTTCGGCCCCCTGGCCGAAGGCTCTAATTCTCACAGGAGGGTCAAAACAGGAAAACAAGGTTACTGGGAGAAAACGGCGAAAATCAGTAGCCCTCGGCACCTAGAGCCCTCGGCGCTAAGGAGGTCCCCGGTACTCGGAGCCCTCGGCTAGTCCTCTAGAGCCGAGAGCACCTTTTCCGACATAATATCCGCTCCACATGCGTATAGATCACCGTACCAAGTACGACGTCACATCCAACAGCCGCATTTAATGCGGCCACATGCGGTTGCCAGCGCCATCCAGTTGAGGTGACCCCTCGGCCAATGGATGCTTGACACGTGTCCCTGTCTGGCATTTATTGCTACTATAAATAGCACCCCATTTCCCCATTTGTAACCAAGACACAACACGCTGAAAACACTGAATACATTTCTAATATACTCTCTCTCTCTACTTACTTGCTCTGTCTTCTCTCTAGTTATTCCCCGTAATAACCCCTCGGATAAGCTACCCCCCGGGTACACTATCCATCAATCTCGCTTCTGGATTTTTAGAATTCCATGAAAACACTCTTGAGCCAAAAGAGAAAACATATCCTGAAGTATTTTTCATATCACCAATTGAACCTCCTCGATCGCTATCTGAAAATGCTATCAATCTTGGATCCGAGCAAGGTTGGTAAAATACTCCAAACTCTAAAGTGCCTTTTATGTACCTAAGTGCTCTTTTCGCAACACCCATGTGAACCTCACTCGACTCATTTATAAATCTTGACAATAAACTTGCAACAAATATCAAATCGGGTTTGGTTGCTGTGAGATACAGTAAACTTCCAACCAAGCTTCTCTACGTTTTTGAATAACATGGAATTCAATAAGATAAACTTATGGAGCGGCTGAATCCAAACTACAAACGTCGTGATAGCCGTTATATTTACTTGTGTTTAACATAAGTATTTATAAGTATTTGTTGAAGAAAGGAAGAGAAATCGGGAAAATAGCTTCAGAATGAGAGCTAGAGCATAAAACATTGCGATGAAGAGCTTTTTGGACCAAGAGGATGACGTCACTAGTACAAAAAACGCTTTTCACATCGGTCAAAAAAGGCTTTTCACATCGGTCAAACAACCGATGTGGTTCCAGCCCATGTGAAAAGTATTGACTTTTCACATCGGTCAACTGCCAATGTGGAAATTCTTTCTACATCGGTCGTTTAGTGCCCGATCTAAAAGATAGTCCAGAACGATATTTTTAATGATATTTCACATCGGTCATTTTACAACTGATGTAGAAAAGCTTCAATTTTTCCCGGAGATTAGGTTTTTCACATCGGGTATAACCCATGTAGAAAGGATTTGCCGGAAAATAGGTTTTTCACATCGGTTATAACCCATGTAGAAAGGATTTCACATCAGTCATTTTATCAACCGATGTGAAAGGCTTCATTTTTTTCGGAAAATAGTTTTTCACATCAGTTATAGCCCATGTAGAAAAGCAATCACATCGGTTATTTTACAACTGATGTGAAAAGCTTCAATTTTTTGGTATTTTTTAGAAAAAAAATTTGCAATATGACGCCCGTTTATACTATAATCACATCATTAACAGTGTCATCAACTGCTACAACACAATTTTTCACTTGTTCACTTAATCCATCTAAAACAATAACACAAGCTATTTTTCAATTCTTCCACAAATGTTAGATAAGTTCAAATAACAACTTAGTACATAATAATAAGCTAAAATAAAACAATCCTTGCACAAATCTAGAGTAATAACACATTGTATAAAGTTACAAGTCTCATCATCACTCAAAAACTTAACCAAACATGTTCTTCATGTGTCGTTGATGGATTGTGTCATTTCTAAGAAATATGATGCCCAGCGAGTTCGTACTTCATCAATCTCTTCTGATGAGAATGGTTCCGCATTGGCGAATTGCTACAAATTAAATAAGAAGGTTATTAAAAAACATTACATGAAGCAAACATATTGAATGTAAATAAAATAAAAATGTAACACATCCCACATTTCAAGAATTACGGCCGAAACAATATTCAACATATGCAACATCACATAATAACCACATTCATAACTCCCAACTTGCATTCGACACTACAAGTTAGAACAGTAACATAATTACTAATCAGGAATTACAGCATTCGACTTGGTGCTACACAACTGAAAGTAAAAATAACATACAAAGTAAAGTAGTAAGTATTTACCATAGGAATAATCCATTTCACTCTTCCCTTTCTTGAGTTGAGCCTACGGCATGCCTCCATTGCATTATGTAATTTATAGTCCGTAGTATTTACCAACCTGTCCTAGTCATTCATCTTGTCAAACTCATCTATCAGACATATTCCTCTATCAGCTAGAACTAGTGCCCCACCTTCAAGTGTCCACTCGCGAGTGAGTGGATCCTTGTGTACTGCTGCTGTAAGCCCAACTGGAGATGCTCCTTTTCAGGTGGTATAAACTGCCCGTTGACCGGTTTTCTCAACATACCTTTAAAAAAGTCTCTTGGTTAAACTAACCAACAACACTAATAACTAGTACATCAAAAGAATTCTTACTTGAGAAACTGTGACTTTGCCGTCCCTGTATCACCCAAGAGAAGTACATTAATGTCGATGTTTCCCATTAACATTTTTCTCTTGGCCCCCAAACATGGCAAGAGCTATTGCAGTCTTTATGTCCTCATGCCCATAGATTGATGGGGCAATAGATTTAATGATATGATTCGATAAACAAATGTTCAAAGGTATGACAACAGAATTAGCATTCTAAAACTCCTTTTTTCTGCTTGACGTTATATATTAATAACATATCATGTTGAAATTAGAAAAAACATCATACCCGCTCTCCAATTCTTGGATCTTTTGCCAACATTTCTATTTCTTCTTTGTCTTCTTGAGTTAATTTGTAAGCTGAAAAAAGATCATGCTTCTTTGTGACATAATTTGCTTCAATAAGAGTGGCAAACACAGGAAATCCATTCTTGGTATGCAAAGACAAATCAAAATTGTTTGTGTATATGCCCGTGACTTCCTGAAAATCCATGTATTGGAAAAGGAAAGGGATCAGAGTCATCTAATTTATAGCACCAACAAAGATCAAAACAGTTAAATATATTAAGGCATTACAATCTCTTCTCCAGGACAGGCACAATCAATGAGATCGTTCAGCAGTATCACTTCCTTGTATCTAGGAAGCCGACCAGCAGGTACAATTCCTGGGCTCTCTTGAAGTGTCAGTTTCTGATAATTCCTGTAAATTGTCTGTGAAAGAGAAGGATATCAGTCAGCTTCATATTCATGAAGATAAAAGGAATCATAAGTGATCCTTCAACACTCACCCGCTCAACATTGGCTGTGAATGGACCTTTTGAGTGCCACTCAGGACATGAACCAACTTTGACTTATGAATATGAATTGTGGAAAAAGGGGCCCAAAACTGAGCCACATGTATTGCAATCAAACTTTACTTGCTGCAACTGTGGGAAAACACCAGACCGTCGCGTAATAACTCCCCCAATACGAATTATGGAGTTCAAATGGATCTGCTTGAAGAAATAAAATTCTAGATATAAAAGTGAAATTAAAACTTTACAAAGCAGAAAAGAAGAAGAGCCATGATATTACCTGATATTACGAATTTGATCATAAATTGGTAAGTTGGTAATGCGAACATGGATCTTTTGATGTATTTTCTTATAATTTGAATGCAAGTCAAAGACAACCTTGTTCGCGACTTCCTCCATTACTTCAAGGACAGACTGCGGAGCATCCGCCAACCAGATGGCAATATTGGGGTGGACATATATAAATTGTTTATAATCAATCTCAAGGCTGCACTTGTTAACTGCAAATACAAAATAAACAAGTTGAAGGAAACTATAAATATGATAGCATAAAGGATGCCATTGTTTAACCATACACAAAAAGGCATACGTGTCACCATCTCATTTATTTGTCTCAGATAATCTTCCTGTTTAGTCTTTTCATTTACGTATGGGCACAAAAACTCTGAGAACTTTTTTGCAATGAAGCGCCGAACTTCATCTCGAGTGACCCATTCTCTAATAGTTCCCTGAACCCTGTACATATCAAAGTCTCCTTCACCATTGTCCTCATCCTAAAACAAATGCCTGTTGGTTAAGATATCAGTTCAAATAGATATGAATAGAAGAATATCTAAAAATTTTTGTTGTTTATCATCTAATACTGTGAAACAGAAAAAATAACTAGAAATATGTCTAAACCTCATATGGATCATCATTCGTCTGATCAGTCCTAGGTACATCTCCAGAGTTGCTCCCTCCCCCTCTCCATCTATCCCCTCCTTCTGGTGAACTCTACATTGCATCACTATCATCACCACTTCTAGGTGTGGTTGGGGCCCTATAATTTACCTCCATTGAGTTGACAAGATGATTTTGACAAGATGAATCCCCAGCCCCTCCCCAGCACCCTCCACAGCTCCCCATCCCCCAACACCCTCCCCATCCCACCAGCTCCCCCTTCCCCCAGCACCCTCCACAACACCCCAGCTCCCTCCCCATCCCACCAGCCCCATCCCCAGCCCCCCAGCACCCTTCCCATTCCACCAGCCCCCTCCCTAGCTCCTCAACCCCCTCCCCAGCTCACCAGTACCCTACCCAGCCCACCAGCCCCCTCCCCATCTCACCAGACCCTCCCCATCCCTCCAGCCCCCTCCCCAGCTATAAATGTATCCTTTCTACAATTAAGATTTTCCAAAATCCCCCTCCCCAGCCCCCTTCCCAGCACCCTCCACAGCTCCCCATCCCCCTCACCAGCCCCCCAGCACCCTCCCCATCCCACCAGCTCCCTCCCAAGCTCCCCAGCCCCCTCCCCTGCCCCCAACACCCTCCACAGCTCCCCCTCCCCCTCCCCAGCTCCCCAGCCCCCTCCCCATCCCACCAGCCCCCTCCCCAGCTCCCAAGTCCCATCCCCAGCCCCTCCCCAACCCCAGCCCCATCAAAAAAATACAAAATTTATAGCCATACGTAAGTACACCCATTTCACATAAGATTATATATTACATCCTAGAAAGTAATAATAACTCACTAATTCACTATATTGAACTGTAAAATTATTCAAATATCAATCCACAAGTTCATACCAAAACAAAAAACACATCAATAATAGGGCTATAGGGCTATACAATTGCATTCTAATACCGATCGAGAAACTGAGAAGATGATTTGTCCGCTACAGACCAGTTCACAGAAGAAGGGAAACCATTCAAGAGTTAGGGAGTTACCGTAAATTGCTAAAGATGATGACCTACCCGCTACTCGAACGCCGTCTGCCGTCCACTGGAACGCCGTCCGCCGTTTGCTGGAACTCCGTCCTTCGTCTGCTTGAACGCCAGCCGCGGGAAGTCTGTCCAAAGCTCTAACTGGCTGAACTGAACTGCTCTTCCATCTTCCGCCTCTGTATTCTTTCGTTTGGAATAAGAACCGCGCTAGGTTTGGAATCGGGAGGCGCTACAAAATTTTAACTAATCCAGATCGGTGGTCACTGATCCGGAATAAGAACGGATTCTTTTTTTTCTTTTTCTTCCACATCGGTTTTAACCGATCTAAAATAAAGTTTCGTTAATTATGAAAGTTACCCCGTTTTTCTTTTCACATCGGTTCCAAACATAACCGATTTAGAATATTTCGTATAATTTTAAAAAGTACCCCGAATTGCTATTTAACATGGGTTATAACAGCAACCCATCTAAAAAACTTTATAAATATTATAAAAATGACCCGTGTTAGTATTCTACGTGGGTTTTAAAATAACCCATGTGAATAAGGTGATGTAAAAAGGCTTTTTTGTACTAGTGCGTTCTGCTCATAATTCGAGTATAACTTATTGTAGAGAACTTGAAATCAATCGATTCAAATTTCATGTGAATTTTAACTCAATAAGGTACAAATGTTATGAAGACATCATGGCCATAATATGAAAGGAACAAGACTCAATCAAAAAATAAAGTCAGACATTGATGGTGGGATTTCAGGATGCATACCTCTCAACGTTTTGTTCATAACTTTTGATTGGATGACTAAAAACATGTCATTCAAGTTTTGATGGATAGAAGACTTCATTATCTACAACTTTGGTGAAGGAATAATTTCCAAACTCGTAGGGAACATTCCAAAAATCTCAGGACAAAACCAGGCGCCAGAATTTCACAAAATCGGCACCGGTCTGATGATTTTCGCACATGTAACCGCAAACCAGTAGCTTACCCGGCGCCAGGTAGGAGTGATGGCCGGCGCCGGATACCCCAATTTTCCATATTCTTCTGCGCACAACAAAGAACCGGTGCCGAATAGGCCTGAAACCGACGCCAGATTGGTCTGATTCTGCACAAAACAGGAAGGCGTGCATCAATATTTTGATGGAAAAACCTCACATTCCTCATGATCTTATCAAATATATCTTCCATACCTAATTGTTGGGCTCTAGTAGACTTAAATATGCCAATCTTTAACCTATATAAAGCTCTCAATTCATCGAACAAGATCATCATTCCATCTTTGGAGCCTAAATTTGAGTTTTTATATTTTACTTTTGTATTATCTTGAAGAATTGGAGAAGAAGTCATTTCTCTCCTCTACAATTGGTTCTAGGTAACTTTTCTTGTATGTTATTTTATTTCCTTCTTCTTAGTTACACTTTTGTAGTTAATATGAGCATTAGTAGCTAAATTCTTAGCTAAGGCTAGGGATGAACTTCTATGTCTACTAGGTGTTTGATAAAAGTTCTAAACCAATAAATTGTGATTTATCCTTTATATATTGATTGTTTATGCCTATGGTGTACAAAATAGAAGTATGTTAAATTTAGTTTATACTTGCAATCAACGTTGAAGTCTAAAGTATGAACATTAAAGGATAAACATATATGGTACCGAGAATAGAAATATATCCGGTCTTATATGATACGGGTGTGATGTCTTGATATTCAACGGGGTTTTCGGTAGATGAATGTAAGTTGTAACGGGACTTACACGTAACGAAAACCACGCTCTCGCTGCCTTAACTGGAGTTGAGAATATATTAGCGACATCATATTCATAATTATTAGTAAAGAACTAATATTCAATTGATATGCACTAGTTTATAGTGCATAAACGTATGTTTTTATGTTGATTGAGTGTGGATTTTCCATCACTTTTAGTTAGTTTGTAAGTACTTGTTTTATTTTGTTTGTAATTGTTCTCTTCTTCTTTTTCGGAGTTTTAGAATAGTGATAGAGTTTGTAGCAAGGAAAAAGGGAGAAAAACTGAAGACAAAAAGACCCAGGAGCACAAAAACCCGACCGGGTCAGACCTTGAACCCGGTCGGGTCAGTTGAGGAATAGATCTAAGAAGGAAAAGTGAGACCCGGTCGGGTCCCATACCCGACCCGGTCGGGTCAGACATGACCCGGAACACCAGAACATGCTGAAGATCACAAAGATTTTGGAAAAAATCTGATTTAGACCAAACCCGGTCGGGTCCCTCACTTGACCCGGTCGGGTCTGACTTGACCCGGACAAATTAACGTGCTGGAACAATGAAACGTGGGAGATTATCTGATTTTGACCGGTACCCGGTCGGGTATGTACCTATACCCGGTCGGGTACCCGGCCAAAGGTGTTGAAAAACACCTATAAATAGCATTCTTTTTCTCCTCTTAAAACCATCCCTTCTTCCATACTCTTTAGCTCAGTTTAGAATAGCCTTTCTTTATATTTTTCTAGCTATGTTTAGTGTCCAAATGAGGAGCTAAACTTCCATTCTTGGTTTTGCTCTTGAAGCTTGTTGATTATTAAAGTTGTGAGTTATTTTCTTAACTTCTTCTCTTGATTATTAATTCTTCCCTTAATCTCATTCTATATTAATGTTGGAGGGTTGCTAAGTGACGATTAGTTAACGTTCCGACATTAATTACTACTAGAAACGATCAACGAACCGATGGTTAATCGTTGGTGGTTTCACAAGTAAGTAACTTCGGTTTATTAATGCACAGTCGTGGTTAATAGACTTAAGAGGGATCAATTTTGTTGGTTAAACCGAAACCGTTGTGTTAAGGTTATCAATCTCAATTGATTTCATCAAGGAGTTAAAAAGATTGAATGCTACTATTATATCGGTATAAGGCGTTGTTCTATATTTGATTAATAGTAAGGGTTATTAATGAACGGTCGTTGTTAATAACTACCCTCGATGAATTGGAGATACTCCTCGATTGAGTATTCGAGAGGGGATAAGTTATAGATATAACAAGGATCGACTAAAATATATCAACAAGTGGAAAGTAGCAAAGCCAAGTCCCTTTTATTCTTGAATTAAACACATATAGGTTGTTCATCTTAGTTTTTAATTAAATTAAATCACTCAAACCAAAACCCCCCTTTTTATTCATTAAGTTCATAAAAAGAGAATTATACATTTCCCTGTGGATACGAACTCTACTACGCTATACTACGTATAAGTGTTAGTATTGAATTTATTTTGACGCACCGTGACAAAGTGCACGTCAAATTTGGCGCCGTTGCCGGGGAAAGGCAATTAATTTTCTTTTTATTTTATTTCAAGAAAAATCAAAAAAAAAAAATATATAAAGTTTTCTATTTTTGCTGAGCTTTGTTTGAGTATATGGTAAAAACCCGATTTATAAACCAACTCACCTACCAAACAAACCCCGAAATAGAAAAAACTCTCGAGCGGTTAAAGAATAAATTCTCAAATACCGATTCGGGGGAATCCTCAAGTGCTAGTTCTCAATCTAGCGAGTCCGAGGAGTCAATATCAATGGCTCTTGAAACAAGAACGCTGAGGGAGCTCACAGCCCCCAATCTAAATCAACAACCCTTATGTATCACCTTCCCAACTCTTGATGTGGGTGCTACATTTGAGTTGAAATCCGGACTCATACATCTACTTCCATCTTTCCACGGGCTAAGAGGAGAGGATCCGAATAAACATCTTTCGGAATTCCACATCGTTTGCACAAGCATGTGCCCGAACGGTGTTACCGAGGAGCAAATTAAGTTGAGGGCTTTCCCATTCTCCCTCAAAGACACCGCCAAAGATTGGCTATTCTATCTTCCCTCGGGAAGCATAGACACTTGGGCGGCCATGAAGAAGAGCTTCCTTGAAAGGTATTATCCCGCCTCCATCTCCTCATCTTTAAAGAAACAAATCAGCAATGTGGAGCAAAAAGATGATGAATCGTTCTACGAATTCTGGGAACGATTCAAGAAACTCTGTGCGAGCTGTCCGTATCACGGCTACTCGGAGCAAGACCTCATCCTTTACTTTTATGATGGTCTTTGCGATGATGATAGACGGATGATCAATGCTGCATGTCGAGGAGGAATAGTCAACAAAACTCCTTCTCAAGCTAGGAATCTTATCTCGGAGTTGACCGAAAATTGTAGACACTATGATCGGCGGTCAACAAAGAGAGTTATGGCAGCGGAATCCAACAACTCGTTGGAGAGTCAAGTAGCCGGCTTGACTTCTTTGGTTAAAAATTTCCTTTTGAATCCAAAAACCCAAGGAGTCAAGGTCTGCGGCATCTGTTCAACACAAGGGCAACCCACAGATTCTTGCCCAACTTTACAAGAGGAGAACTCCGAGCAAGTCAATGCTTTGGGGTTCCAAGGCCAAAGGAGGTACGATCCTCACGGCAACACCTACAATCCAGGATGGAGGGATCATCCAAATCTAAGGTACGGAAACCCTCAACCCCCTCAACAAACAAACCCTCCCCCTCCTCAACAATTTAAACAACAAGGCCAAACATCGAACTCAAGCATGTCCACCGAAGACATGATTCGAGCATTAGCCATGAATATGACTACGATGCAACAAAGTGTGGCCCAATTTCAAGAAACCACAAAGTCTAGCATCCACAATTTGGAAAACCAAATGAGCCAAATCTCAAACGCCGTGAGTAGGCTAGAAGCTAGGGATTCGGTAAAACTCCCATCTCAAACGGAGCCGAACCCGAGGCAACAAGCTCATGCGGTCACTTTGAGAAGTGGCAAAGAGTTGGTTATGGCTAAGGCGAAAGCAAAGAGCCATGTGGGAGAAGAGGAGGAAGAGATCTTGATGCCAAGCACAAACCCTCAAAATGAAGAAGAAAAGGAGGAGGAAATCACACCTCAAAGAAAGTTCCCACCGCTCAACTCATATGAGCCGGTGCCACCTTTTCCGGAGGCTCTCAAGGATAACCGGAGATACAACAATGACAAAGACATCTATGAGACCTTCAGCAAATGTGAGGTAAATATCTCTCTTCTCAATTTAATAAAAGGTGTTCCTAGGTTTGCAAAGTTTTTAAAAGAACTTTGCACAATTAAAAGGAAACACAAGTTGAATGGCAAGCATAAAATCCAAGTAAGTGAAAGAGTGTCGGCCGTTTTTCAAAAGAAACTGCCTAAAAAGTATAGTGATCCGGGAATGTTCACTATACCATGTAAACTTGGAAATTCTAGTTCTTCTAGGGCTATGTTAGATTTGGGTGCATCAATCAATGTCATCCCA